AGAATTACAGCTGCCTGCAGACCTGATTACCGGGATACCACCTGATGCGCCACGCAGTATAACCAATTATGCAAACGACTTGCGCAACAAAATGAACGACATTTATGAGCGGACAATCGGGCCAGCAAATGTCTGAAAAGGTGAAAACGCGATATGACCGCAAAAAACTCCACAAAAAAAAAAAAACCCTCCCCCCCCCCCCCAACACCACAACCCCCCCCCCCCACCACCCCCCCCACCACCAACACGAGGGGGGGGGAAAAAAAAAAAAAATGAACTACAAAGGGTTCGACGAAGGTTTACTAGTGTGGTTGCACAATTCAATCCGCAGCAAAGGGTAATCTCCTAAGCTTCAAGCTAAATGGACGGCATACCGGATTGTGACTAGGATCAACAACGTAAACTACCGGATATAGAAAGGTGCAAGAGGTTACTCCTAAGATCGTCCATGTGGATCGACTTGCTCGTTACTATGGGATCGATAATGCTCGGAACGAGCATGTCTTAGGAGGGGGCAGTATTGCGCGCTATAATTTACGCCCGGTATATAGCGGGTGATTATAAGCGTCATCTAGTATCAAGGAGTAGAAATAGGAGCGTCAAGATCTTTCTAGAACTCTCCCACTAGCGCCATCTGGTAACGAATAGAAGAAATAAGCTTTCTAGAAACTCAACCTCGAATTTTCTACACCTAGTCGGTCGGGACCGGTATTTGCTGGAACATTCTTGATGTTTCGGTGGAAAAGGCCTGTATAAAGCCGTTCTCCCGGTCTACTATATACTCTTTTGCGACCTTTAGCACTATATAGATACATATGAGACTCATCAGAAAAGAGTACTTGTCCCCAATTTGCCACAGTCCAATCACGGTGTTCACGAGCAAATTTTAAACTTGCTGCCTTATGAGCTGTGGTATGTTTAGGACCTGTGTATGTTTAGGTGTGAGGTCCTATCACTTACAGCAAAACCTCGCACATCTCTAAGCAGGTGCCGCAATAATACTCCAGAACGATGACGATTTCTGAGGCTTACTGACACTACGAATCGATCATCCCGTTTAGATGTTACTTTTTCGACCTAATCCAGATCTCCTAATGTAGCCACCGGTCTCCACGCACCTCTATTAGATATATTGAACCATTGACTGACTTACTTCACATTGTCGAGCGACATTTTGCTGGCTCATTTCTATTCATAATAACGTTACGATTCGCACAACTTCTGCTTCGCGTACATCCATATTTATCAGTGAAAAGGAAGTATGAGGAATAGAACTTAAATCAGTAATACGTATTTAATGATAGTTTTAAATAGCGTCCTAGCGACAGGACATTACACATAAAAGAATAAAAGTATGGGTACCTAAAATAACTGATTAATGACATTTGACACACACTTGATAAATTTATCTACATACCATACATACATACATAAACACTCACGCCTGCCACCCAGAGTGGTAGGCAGAAACTACAGACTTCCATTTGTAACGATCCTGACACACCTCTCTCGCCTCCTTCACATCCATATACCTCGGATAGTCGGTTAAGGGTACTCCTAATTTGGCCTGTTTTCAATAAATCGCTAATTGGGTCGATAAATTTTCGCCTAGAACGTCCCTTACCGACTCTGCCATTCACTTCAGCAACAAAAATTTTCTTTGTCACTCTTTCCTCATTTATTATTTCCACATGACCAAACCTCGGAAGTATTCCTTTCTTAATCCTGGTCACAACATTATCTTGAAAACCACACTCTTCTCTTATCACACAATTTCTCACCCTGCTCAGCCCTAACATATTCCTCAACGACCGTATTTCTACTGCGTTTATTCTACTCTCGTGCTTCTTCTGCCACACCCTACTTTCACTACCACACGTTTAAGTAGGGACCAACACAGCACTGTGAATTGCCATACGTGCCTTTTTTTAAACATTTTAACTCTTTACAATAGAGTGTAGGGCCCCATTTACTCTATTTTCTGCGTTCACTCGTCGTTCTATATCCTTATCATATCTCCCATCACTGCTAAATACGCAACCTAAATACACAAACTCATCTATTTGCTCGATTAACTCCCCTTGTATTCTTATTTCACATATCGTTTTACTTTCTTCTCTTTAAAACACCATAACTTTCGTCTTACTTGCGTTCACTTTCACACCCCTTTCTTTTAATGATCTGTTCATTAATGTAACCGTCATCCAGCCTTGTCTGACACCTTTTTGGATGCCAAACCTGTTTGAGTAGACCCCGTTGATCCTAACACAAGCACTAGAGTCCCTATGAAGAGACTCCAATGCTTGTATCAAGCCAGCGCTCAACCGAAATGTGTTCAGTGTTTGCCATAGCATATCCCTATCCACTCTGTCATAGGCTCTTTCCAAGTCCATGAACGCACAAAAAACCTTTTGGTTTTTGGCCAAAAACTTCTCCGCGATCATGCGCATGAAAAAGACTTGATCTGTACGTCCCATTCCCTTTCTAAATCCCGCTTGCACATCCCAAATTTTTCCATCAGTTTCTTTCATGATCCTTTCAATTAGTTCTTTAGCATACAGTTTTCCCACTAAGAAGGCTGATACCACGATAGTTTTTACAGTCCTGCTGCGACCCTTTTCCTTTAAATATTAGGACTATCACGGCTTTGCACCAGTCTACCGGTACCGGCTTCAATGCCCAGCATAAATTAAACAAGATGTGCAGCAAGTCTGCCACCACCTCCTCTCCAGCCCTCAGCTTGTCGCTCATTTAGTACCACCTGGGGGACACGTGTAGGGTGGGCCTAGGATTAGGTGGTCGAAGCCTAAGGACGCGAGCGACTTATCCCCCATTTGGCCATTGCGGCAACGCGACTGACATTCCCTGGACCTTAAACCTTCTCATAATTGAAAGAAGAGGCCTGTGCCCAGATGCGGAACGTATATAGGCTTTAAATTTTCCTTTTAACTTTATATACCGCGTTGTAAGAATATCCACTAAACCACGCATCACCACTTATTGTCCGGCACCAAACTAGCTACGATTTTACAATTAGGGAATTAAATATTAAAATAACTGTGGAATAAGGTTTAATTTACCAATCGGAAATTACCTCTGTCCTGGGAAGAACAAGGAAGAAACCCAGCGGAACGTTTTTTTTAACAAAGAACTGTTCACAATTATATATTTTGTTACATAAGCAAACCTACCCAAAATTAATAAGGAATAGCTTGGTAGCGATAACCTTATTTCCAGGGTTTATAATCATCCATGAATTCTTAAATATTATAATAACTTTTTGGACGTTTTTGAACTTGGTGGTGGATAAATTTTATATGTTTGATCGGGATTTTGTTGTAAAAGCGTAGACATTGCCCCAGAATTAATTACTGAGTGTGGTTTCTAATAACTGGTCCTACTAGCTTGTGTGTATTCCTTGTATTTACAGAGTGATTTTATTAGAGAAGAGGGGGTGGCATACGAGCATGCGACTCACTTGATGGTAAGTGACTACCGCCGCTCATGAATGACTGCAAAAATAGGAGAATTGCAGATACGTTACGAGCCTTTTAAAACACGGATAGGCTGTTTTGCTGAAGGTCCCAAGAATATCATATAATTTTTAAAACAACTTACGTTTTTGTGTACATTGTATGTGTACATTTTCGTAAATATATTTATAGGTAAAAGTTTTCATTTTCCCTCAATTTTTGCTTTAGAAACTATTTAGGTTTGAAATCGCAATTGTAACCTTTTTTACAATACATGTACGCTGCAGCACTAAGTCTGTTTGCTATTTTAGATATATGGGACCTTATACGTTTATGCATGGGACTTAAAAACTTCGCATATGGATGAACAACACTCAACCTCCACATTTAAAATTGCATTAGTATTTAGATATTTGTCATTTGGAGTAATTAATTTCATATTTTAGTGAAATTTATACGTAAATTATTAACATGAAACCAATTTACTTATTTAAATATATCGTTATTTACTTTATCATAATTTATTAACTGTCGATTTACTTTGAAAATAAATGAAGTATCATCAACAAATAATACTATATCACCTTTTTCCCCTACTATGTAAGATAAGTCATTAATATAGACAAGAAACAGAAAGGGGCTGAGAACTGAGCCCTGAGGTACGCCCTATTGCCGGAAAAACTCCGTTGATAAAAACTTTTTGTGTCCTGTTTCTAGTAAGCATCACTTCTTATATCAGAGTTTTGTATTTTTTTTGAAAACTGTACTCTATATTATCAACGAAGCTATTAAAACTAACTGCGTAAATGCCGCTAAAATAACTTTTCATTCAATTTAAAATATCTTCAAGTATTTATTTTATTTTATTTTCTATTTAAACTTAGTTTTATTCATCTTATTTTAATAATTTTTAAATTATTACATATAGTCAAATTAAGTATCTAATTGTTTTTTGTTCTGCCATAAGACCAAGATATCCTTGTAGTCTTTTTAAGAATAAATTTTGTAGTACAAGCTTGGGTTCCGACTGCCCAGTGATCTGTATATCTCATCTTTTTAACATGCTCAATAAAAATATGGCCAACCTTGACATTCACTAGGATACCCACACTAAATTTATTACCAAACTTAAGCTTGTTGTCATGTTACGTAGTAACGAGACGTAGAGTTAACCCATGGCCAAACTAGCTAGAGAGACCTATGTTCAGCAGTGTACTTTTATTGGCTGTATACATATATAGTCCCTCCCATCGAATTGATGACGGCGACTATTGATATTAGGATATTTTCCTATCATTTCGAAATTTGTCTTATATACTCCTTGACATGCGTGGCAGTAGAGATGGCCAGCTGAGTTGTAATTGTACGATTGATGAACCTTTTATATGCACATAACACATGTCACCATCTAATAGATTGTACATCTGGTATATTTGAAATAGCGCAATATAAGTATGCTGTCCACGTCGATGGGCCAATGCGTGCATTAACAGTTTTGTAAATGTTCATGTGATTTTTTTGTTTTAGATTGTATGGAATCCAGGATTAATATATATAAAATGACTTACGTCGACACTAAAGAATGTAAGCAGTTCTACCGGAGGTCTGGGGTAAGCAATTATAATATCCAAAGCATTACAATAAACTTGGACAAAAAAATTGTAATAATGATTTCATAAACGAAACGAATTAGCAATCCGCCTGACAGTAACTTTCTCTGCAACTCATGAATACATACATCCCACTTCAAAACAAAGAGGCCGCCGGTGCATTGACACCGTTAGGCTAAAAGAAAAAGATTACAATGAAATTCCTCATAACCTATAATTTAGTGTCTGATATTTTTAACTTACAATTTACCGTCAAATAATAATTGTCTCTTCTCCTTTACAACCTTTTAATAGGATATCCCGAATGCAACCAGTCCATACAAATATAATATAGTACAATATTAACTTACAGTTAGACGAAAAGAGTGTTTGGCCTAAATACACGGTATGTGCAAAGGCACTCAGAGGCGGAGAATGCTTGTGGCAAAGCGGAGTGTTTCTCGTCATGAAGCAAGATAATAGATGGATGTTGGTACGTACCGAAATAACAATTGTCAGCACAAGTTATAATTTTTGGCTGGTACTACTTCCCCACTTATTATAAAGTCTTAAAATGAATATATTTAATGGTGTGGTCCTCGATCCCTAAATTTCGGTGTTCCTCAAGGAAGCGTACTTGGTCCTTTATTATTTTAGTATATATTAACTAATTATTATTTATAGAAATAAGCGTGTCACGAGTTCACAGTCCATCTTATAAGTAAGTGTGTGGTAGATCAGTGGTAGTATAGAAATTATTATATAATTTGTCTTAATTTTTTAGATTTCCTTAGAAGATTGTGTAATAAGACACAAGTCATAACTATATCCGTCACCTTGTCGGGTTGTAACAGAATAGGTTTCCTTAGTACTCTGAAAACAGAAGACAGTATTCCGAAAGCGTTTTCGACTATTCTCCTAGCTCTTGACAGACTATAGTTGAAGACTCTTTTGACTGCATCACTGATCGTAGACGCTATTGCTGATCATGAGGTCCCACGGTCGAATACTTTGGGGCTTTCATTTATTGTTTTACTGTCAAAAAATTCTCAGTAGCATCCCGGAGTAAGGAAGTTGGCAGTATTTCACCCCCGTACCTCTGAAAGCTCATTAAAGGAGTTTTTACTACACCTGATCTCTCTCTGTTCGTGCTGGATTGCTACCCCATCGGACTATGAATGTGAAGGCATTAAAAGTGATTGGCATTGAGCTTGCGCATACACTTGGGCACTATAATTTTGTCCCGCACAGATAATTGGTCTCCTTTGAGACTCGCTGCAGAACATTAAGCTGTAATCCTTAGGATACCTATATCCTTCACTAAGAATCGAAATCCAGATATTTAGTCACAATTGCGCAATAATATGGAAGACCTCGTTACGTTCCTGTTCTCGTCACTCACCATGTATTACTGCATAATAATAAAGCTATTTCATGCCGGTGTTCTGTGAGTATGTGATTCTGCTCCTTTCGAGCCAGCACCTTTATTCTACAACTGTAATGAAATATTTAGACCGGTGAAGGAGTGCAGTGTGAAAGGTACGTCACTTCTATCATCGTCAACCCGCTTGCTTAGCGTGAAAATGAAGAAAAATACTCCCAACGGGGGAGATCTAAGTCCAGTAGTAATATTTTTAGAGCTGATGATATTTTACGAGAACAATGCACATAAATTAAAATTAATTTGATATATTTTGTCGCGTTTAATTTTAACTTTATAATTTCCGACGTTTTGTAGATCGGACCAAATATTAATATTCAAGAACGGAAGGTAGCCGAACTAGCTATGACATTGATACGTCAAAAAACCCATTCCTGCCCGTGACAATGAGTGCTGTAAAGCACCCGAAACGTTGGGAATGATGAAGTTAAAATTAAACGGGATAAAACTCCGTAAAATTTGTTTCAATTAGTAATTTAAACAGGCTGGCTTTGGTGTCCATGGTCCTGGATGCGAATCTCCTGCAAGATTTTTGGACTACGGCATGTACCATCAGTGGGTTCGAACCGTGATTGAAAGGATCGGCAGACCGGCCATAACTAGGCTCGCTCCTAACGTCATTATAATGCGACGACGTAAGTTTTATTACAATGTGTGTTGCTATTGTGTTGTTATATAATTCTGTATATTAATACGGGAAGTGAACGCTTTTAATCACTTTTTAAGCATATGGCGCGCATGGAGGACTGTGAAATTGGGCATAGTTACATTTTATAAGAGAAGGAATGCAGAAAGCTAAAATGTACTTATAGTATGTGTTACAAAGCTATTATTAAATTGAAGTAAACATACTCGTATATTGCTTAAGTTTATACCGCCAAAGTCAAACATATATAAACATAACCTTTTATTTTTACAAATTATATCATTTGTTAATGCTTATACTGCCAATATCTCAGAGAAAGTACAAGTGAATAAAGCCAATGTCAAACATTTGATAGTATGTGCAAACAATCGCGCCGAGTAGATTTTCGAACAATAAGTGAAGCATATTGTTCGAAAATCTACTCGGCGCAAAAAAAATATATATAATATATATATATATAATAATTGTCGCCAAAGAATATATATAATAATTGTCGCCAAAGAATTGGCAACAAATAATTACTGATAGATTGACTGAATAAGCTTTTGTATGATTAAAAATGTTCCTTTTTCAATAGTTTGTGGAGACTAAGCCAGAGCAAAAAGTACTTTAAAAGTACTTTAAAATTAGTATTATTAATTTGTAATTTTGTTGATTGTAATATTATTACAACAAATTAATATTATAGCAAGCGATAGTATGTACATTTATATAAAGTAAGAACCTGTTATTGGCATTATAGATTATCTGAGAAGTTCTGTTAATATTTATAACGTGCTGTTGGTTCTATGATCAATAGAGAAAAAAAATGCAGTACCTGACTAGCATTTCAACTTTTGCAAATGTTAGTACAGTAGACATTTTATAGGCTGCAATGATGATGATGATGTCTGTGTTGAATGATGAATCAAATAATTTTGTGAAATATTTCTATTTCTATTCATGTTTCGGTCCATACGTAGTAGAGCCATGCTGCAGTTATACTACAGCTGTAGCACGAATGGATCGGCTCGGCCGGGAGAGGACCGCACTCTTACAGAATAGCAGCATAAAATAGCCGCTCAATGCTGCTGTGCTTCGTATGTCGAGTATAGAGAAACAGAGACCTTTTTTACTAGGTACGTGGCATTCAATCTTAGTCCTTAAGGATGACAACGCATCTGCATTTTGATTCCTGATCGAGGTTAAATGTAAATGTCTATGGGCCACAGCATCCACTTACCACTAGGCGGACTGTGCACTCGTTTGTCACCTTTATCCTATAAACAAAAACCTTCGAAACAAAAAGAGCTAATTATCTTCAAACGGTTGAACAGCTTTTCTGAAACAAAGCTAAGAATAATCACGATTTAGACACCTTTTAAACGAAAAAAACATAATCAAAATCAGTTGATCCGTTCAGAAGCTATAATGTCACGGACAGACACACTGATACACAGATACACACTACAAACGCTTGGACCGATTTTGACGGGACCTTTACTGGCAGATAGCTAATGTTATAAGGAGTAACTTAGCCTTACGTTTATTTATAAAAAAAGTTGGGGTTCCACGCAAAATAATCAAAACCAATGAAACTCAACCGTAATAAGTTCTGGCAAAGTCTCTGGGAACAGTTGGTTTCAAAGAAAAGGGATTCACTATTTTATAAATTAAAGTTGACTCATACCTACTAGGAATTAAATCGAAATTTTTATTTCGTGTGTAAAACGTTTATTATTAAATTAACGTTTTATTTAAATTTTGTTTAGCGAAACGTCACTCTAATTTTATTTTTAATTCCAGGTCTAACAAATGTGCAAAGATTTGGGCCTTGCGATGCTGAAGAGACACGGGCAGAGATCTATACTGATCATACGGCGATTTTGCCATTTTCCCCTAAAGCTCGAACAGCTTATTTAAATGTACGTTACAAAATATTTACTAAATTAAATCTACCTACACTAACGTCATTATCATCATCATCATTACAGCCGGTATCACAATTCCACTGCTGAACATAGGTATTTCCAAGCAATGCTACAAAAAATGCCAGATGCATCCATCAACTTTATGCACCACTTACCAGGTAGTCACTCCACTTAATTGGTGACCGGCCTAAACATCACTTACAATACAACGCCTTCACTCGCAAACCCCATCGGGTATCAGTTTTTTGAGCTCTGGCCCATTGTCACTCCTTGGGCAATCTATAAGAGAGACCTATGCTCCACAGTGGACTTTTACACTCTGTAATGGATGGAGGAAATCTATGTCTTTAAAATGTTTCATTGCAATGCCTGTAAAAGGTTACTAAATGCCAACTGCGTTATAGAGTCTATTGAGATTAGTCGGGTCATAAGTTCTCTCAAAAACTTTTTATAAAATTAATGATACACTTTTTAATAATAACGTAGAAATTATTCAAAGTGCCATCGCCTTTTTTGAATACATGCCCGACGCTAATCATCTATTGCAACACGCACCACGCTCATATCTATTTCTGCTGCTGCTTTAGCCAAAGATGCTCGGAAATAATCCAAATTCTAATGAGGTATAGCGCAGACTTTCTCCTCCAAATGTTGCCATATCTTATAATACAGTGGGCTTAACTCTGGGCTAGAAGAGGGCCAGTCTTCGTGTCCGATAAAGACAATTACATGGGCGGTCAACCAGTTTCGCATGCTTAGTGCCTTATGAGCTGCTGCAGGGTTCTGTTGGAATATCTAACGTCTGTTTTTGAACATTATTTGAGAAAGAGGTTCTACTATATTTGTTAGGACGGTATTTTGGTACACCTCGGCACTGGTTTTTACGCCTTTTTCACAGAAAAGCACTTTAGTTAAGTCTAAATATGGGACTCCAAACCAAACCATGAGTGACGAAGGATAATGTGCTCGTTGAACCCTCGGAATACGCGTGCTGGTTTCTTCGCTGCTGTGGGCATACACCTTATCATTTTGTTTATTATAACTTTCTTCGATGTTAAAATTGTTTCATCCGAAAACAAAATTTCGCGGTATTTTTTTCCCGCGTACCGCCGTAACAAAGTGCGGGATCTATCCAGCCAAATTTTTTTCAAACGCTCGTTCAAAAAATGTCCGGTCTTCTTACGATACGCCTAAACCTAGGTCTTCATTGATCACTCCTTTGACGATGGGCCTAACCATCTGAAGAGCTAAAATTTTTTGTTTACGAACAGGAATTACCTTGGATTCTCGCCTTCACTGCTTTGACGATCGCGGGTGTCCTAGCTGTACGAAGTCGGCCGGTCCTCTTACGATCTTCCAAGCTTTAATCTTCACTGAATCGTTTGATAGTGCGATAAACAAATCGTAGGATTATCTTAAATTTTTGTAGAATATTTAAAACCTCTTTTGGCGCGTAACCAAAGGCGACGCGATAACCGCAAGGTCTTTCTTCTTTCTTCGACCTCTGCATAGAAAGGAATGAAAATTAATTTATTTTGGTTTTCGGCAAGCCTAAACGTTATATTTTTAAAATTGGTGAAGTTCATCAAGGCAATATTCAAAATTTTTAAACATAGAATACTATAATTACATACATAACAAAACGGGGGAGTGGGCGGTGCCGGTGTAGCCACTAAAATGTCACTAACACGTCAATTCATACGTACAAACGTCAACACGAGATGTGTTTTGACGTTACAATCGTTTCCAAATTTCGCATGCAAATTATTTAGAAAATGCCAAACTGCACACTATTTACAAATAAATATGTAGTAAAATCTCGGGCGAATCAGCAAATCGGGTTTGTAGTAGTGATAATACGAAGTAATTGTTTGTATGTGTGCTCCCGGCGGCGCCTATCCTCGTACAAACTAAGTTTGACAGCCCTCAATCACAAACTAAAGTAAGCAAACAAAACTTCTCAATGGCTACCGGACGATACGAATATATATATATATATATATATATATACCTATATATATATATATATATATATATATATATATATATATATATATAAACAAATAAATGAAATGTATTTGTTATTTTAGCTTAATAGCAGTGGAGCGTATATATTATGTATGTTTATGTATATAAAAATGTTTCGTAGTGAATTGGTAAGACATGTAAGATGTCTATGAGTGTAGCTGTCTGAGATTCGTGTTTCATAGCGTTTCTTGAGGAAGGCCTCATCATTATCATCATCATTACAGCCCTTCACAAGTCCACTCCTGAACATAAGCCTCCTCCAAAGAATGCCACAACGTACAATCCTGCGCCATCTGCATCGATCGACTTCCTGCATGTCTTACCAGGTCGTCACTCCGTCTAGTGGGGGGGCAACCACTCGAGAACATTTTTCCTCATCTGTTGTCGGTTCTTCGAGCTATATGGCCATTGGCACTTCAATTTACTAATGCATTGGGCTATGTTAGTAACTGGGGTTCTGCTGCGGATATGCTCGTTTCTAAGTAAAGTAAATCCGAGTATAGCCCTCTCCATAGCTCGCTTAGTGACCTTGAGCTTCCTCATATGGCCAGCAGTGAAGGACACGTCTCAGATCCGTAAGTTATCACTGGCAACACGCACTGGTTGTATAATCCTGTTTTCAGGTTTTGAGGTATTCCTGACGAGAAGATTTGTAGTAATTTCCCGAACGCTGCCCAGCCGATTTAAATCCGTCGATTGACCTTTCGTTTGAAGAAACCTATTTTAAAATTTCTTTCTAAAAACGTTAGGATAGGGATAGGTTTTTATAAACGTTAACAAGGATCATCTCCTGAATCGTGGAGGCAGTTAACAAATATAAACTGCACAAGGAAAAGCGTCTAGACCCGAATTCGACTAATTTCGAAAATGTGACCCCTAGCGGTGCCACTTTATGATAGGCCACGGGGCTGTCAATGTTCACCAGTAATAATGATTATGATGATAATGATCATCGTATGTGTCATGATCATAATTATGGTGAAGTTCGTTACTCGTTATCTTTAATAAAAGTGTGCCACTAAAAGTTCTTAGAAAATCATAAACTGAACAAACTAACGGGTTATTAGTTATATTATATGTTTTCAAAATAGTGTCTTAAAATAATATAAAATAGTGTGATTAACATCAATACATCGCTGCATCCAATGGAACAACTAAAAAAAGCACTTTGCTCGCTCGACCTTAGAGGTCTCTTCGATGGCATTGAAACGTTCCTCGGCTCATAAAACGCTTTCCTCTAAGATTTTCTTTTATTTTTGTAAATAAATAAAAATCGCAAGGTGCGAGGACGGGGCTAGGTGGGTGACCCAATAATTCCACGTCAGACGTCGACAAGTAGTCGATTGTTTACTTGGCGGTGTGCGACGAGGGGTTGTCGTGGTGAAGGAGGATTCTACTGCGAGGTTGTTTCTCTCGAACTTTTTCCAAGATAAGTGACAAACAATTGTGAGTGTACCACTCTGCAGTAACTGTTTTTCGAACCTCTAAAACAATTGTTGCGTAAGGACTTGTTCTTTCGAAGAAAGAGGCCACCATCTTTTTTCCCACGCCTCAAGCTTTTTTCACTTTAGTTGGCAACTCCTCGAAAGGAAACACCCGGACAACTGACTGTCTCTTACTTTCAGAATCATAACAATAAATCAGCTTTCGTCACCCGTAATTATGTCAAACACAGTATTTGAGTTTTTTTCCGGAGTTTTTGGCACAAATCTACTCGACCGCTAAATGTTCTTAGAAGATTTTTTGCACTTGACTCATGTCGATGCCTAGGCCTGTCCAAATCTGCTGATAAGTCACTCTTTTGTCAGTCTATATCATACGCTGCACAACACGCCAACATCGCCGTAGAAGGACGTCCGTCACGCGGATCATCAATGAGATTATTGCGACCACGTTTAAACTCATTAAACCAGCTGTAAACAGTGGCACGAGACGGACCTTCATCATGAAAGGCCAATCAAACTCTATCATAACTATCTTCTTGACTTAATTGACATCAAAAGTCATAAAAAATCATTGTACGAAAATTTTCTAATAAATAAAAAATCATGCTGACGTGACACAGACAATTGTCAATTCGCCGCCAAATATTGGCAAAGAGTTCCATTTTCAAAATTTGCACTTATTTTTTTATTATACCGTTTACACGTGGCCAGTTCTAAAAACTTTCAGTGTCGTCCTCATATGTAATGATAATTTTAGCACTTTTATTTATGGGTTTATAATTTAAAAATTATATTTTGCAAACCCGCCTTTTACTTTTTAATAGTTTGATCAATAAATATTATAGTGGTGTTAACTACCGACATTGTAAACAAAAAAATCGTTAATCAATGCAAAAACATTCTAATTTTAACAATATGTTATGTATATATCTGTCTATGTTAATTTAAATCAAAAACCGTAGCCAATAAACAACTGAAAAAACATCTTAATTTTTTTTAAGATGTTTTGATAAGTTTAAGAACTGAGAAAATTTCACTTTTTGACAGTCCACCTGATAGTAAGTGGACGGCCGAATGCTGGCTCTTCCTAACATCGATTAAAGGATCCAAATAAAATGTTTTTAAAAATAGAATATGGGTGCCATACCAGCACACAGTCCACCTGATGGTAAGTAAAAAAAAGGACGCGTTGTCGGTTTGTTGGTCGGTTTGCTGTAAAAAGGATCTCCTGTGCTCTACACTCACCATACGAAACACAGCGTTATTAAGCTGCTATTTTACGTTGGTATTCTGTGAGAGCGTGGTTCTTCCCTGGTCGAGCTAACCCATTCGTACTACAACCATAATATAGCTGCAGCGTGGCTCTACCACGTATATAATCATATCTTATATATTTATCTAAATCAGAATTATTAAATTAAAAATAGTGTGGCGGCGCTGTCGTCGCGCCACAAGCGAAATACACCGAAGCTTAAATCACGCTATCAACATTCCGAATCATAAACAGTATATATAGAACATCTCCGAACTATCACACGGAGTGTTGGCCGCTCCCCGGGCAGAACACCTTGCCCGGCGGGAGATCTCCCCTTTTCCTTCCACGACCACAGTGGTGACCATCCGACGTGATCTTGAATACACGCAACCGACAACCTTCGGAAACTTCAAGCTTCATCATCGTCATAGAATACCCCACCCATTCGCTCCCGAGCAGATATTGTCTGCAGTCTTCATATCCTGCAAGCCATCTAGCTTCACAAGGTTCATCGTAGCACTGGAATAATAATGCTTCCTGTTCCTTCAAGCTACTCTCTGCGCTATACAGTGTCCTTCCTGTCCTTCCGTCCTTCCTGTGTGTTGTCCCCTTTTCCTTCTACGGCTACAAATAGTATTGAATTATGATGTCAAATATTATAAAGCAAAAGCATCCCATAAAGTTCACGGACTGCACTAACCACTTACTATTAAATCGACAGTAAGTTTGTCAGTCGCTTTAGTTTAAAAATAAACATGTACAGTACAGTTCACACGCGGTAGAAGGGAAACTTTCACGAAACGAGAACAAGATAGGAACGCTGCAGCTATATGTTAATTATATTTTATAATTATTAATTTAATAATTCTGATTTAGATAAATATATACGATATGATTATATACGTGGTAGAGCCACACTGCATCTATATTATGGTTGTAGCACGAAAAGGTCAGCCTTACCGGGGAGGGACCACGATCTCACAGAATACCAGCGTAATTTTTTTTATAGGATACGGTGACAAACGAGCACACAGTCCACCTGATGGTAAGTGGTTGCTGTGGCCCATAGACATCTACATCTATCCTCGATTACGAATCAAAATGCAGTTGCGTTGTCACCCGTGAGGACTAAGATGGAATACCTCGTTTCCAGTAAAATGAGTCTCCAGTTCTCTACACTCACTATACGAAATACAGCAGCATTAAGCTACTATTTCACGCTGGTATTCTGTGAGAGCGTGATCCTTCCCCGGTCGAGCCGACCCATTCGTGCTACAACTATACATCTAATTTAACTGCAGCATGGCTCTACCATGTATAAATATGAAAATAGCAGCTTAATGCTGTTGTGTTTCGTATGGTGAATGTAGAGAACCGAACACCCTTTTTCCTGTAAACGTGGTATTCTACCTTATCCCTCGGGAATGACAACGCATCTGTATTTTGATTCTTAATCGAGTATAAATGTAGATGTCTGTGGACCACAGCATCCATTTACCATCAAGTGAATGAAGTGCTCTTTTGTCACTCTTATTGTGTTTTTTTTAAACAATGAATACAGTATTCTATCTCATTTTCTCGCGGGAGAAATCCTATCATCCTAGACGCATCCTATTAAATAAATGTTTGTCTTTTGTCTTCGAATTTCAAATCACAAAGATACTAAAGAAGGTTTTATTTCAAAAACAGCTGAAATACAATTTATTAAACCTGTTGGTTGAATCGTTTTTGCAATCAACCAGAACATCCCACTCACCCATCGCTAGTTCTAGGCCATATAGAATTAAATTAGAACATTTTATTATAAAAATAATTATGTTGATCTTAACTTTTTCAACAGTTTACAATATTATCAACCTACGAATACTCTTGCATTGTGTTCCGATGCAACCAAAACACAAATGCCGTACCGACAATCCATCTCCGACGTTTGTGCCTCGCCAGCCGCCCAGCCTGCTACCAGTTCTCAACGCTCCAAATTGATTTCGATATAGTAATTGTTTATTTTGATAACGTCGAGTACCATGTGAACGTTTACGGCGAAGAGATCAAATTTCTAGACAGTAAGAGAATCAATGTATATGCTAACAGAAATTTAAGACCTCCTCCTATAAACGAAACATATAGGGTGGGCTGGCATACAGGTTGGGGCTAATCGCTGTATTATTATTTAAATAATGGTTCGAAATGGATTTTGATATGTCAAAGTGGTGCGATTTTGTGTATTAAGTGTAGGTATGCACATGTGAACTATTAGTGAAAACGATGAAACACGTGCTCCGACTGTGATGTGAACCTCAAGTTATTGTGTCTGCTACGCCTTGAGAATATCGTCATCGATTGTGTGCTGGCTCAAGTTACCGTCAAAATCTAACAAAAACTTCGCAATGTAACCTATCAACATATTGTGAATTAGTTTTTTAACAAATTGTTATAGAGAATAATTTCGAATTATTTGATACTGGCAAAAGTACAACCGTACGAGGCCATTATCAAAAAATAACAGTATAGGTCGCTCCCTTGGATGCTTCTACCTATTATAGACATGGGCACGTCGGTAACTCAGCGAAATTTCTTGCGTTAATGCAGTAACTCAGGCACAGTTTATTGCGCCGGCTCATTGCGTTAACTCAAAATTGCGCCATTGCCTCAGAGTAATTACTAGCATAGAGAGAGTCTTAAAAACAGAACAAAACCTCATGTAACCGAACTCTTTATGCATATGACATTTCCTACAGGATAAAAAAGATAGTTATATGAATGTCACCATCTCTCCTTTTTAATATTTTAGACGTAGACAGAGAAACCTATAGACAAATTGACGCCTTCTTTCGCATTCGCACACGAAAAAGATAGATTTATGCATACGTCTTGCATAGAAATGAGACAGAGCGGTGTGATTGTTTGTCCCTTTCTCCGTGCCGGGTTTTTTATTTAGCAAACTACACTTTGCTAAACAACTTTGACAGTTCGTAGCAATCTAAGGAGTTTGCAAGTTGGTTTAAGTGAGAAAAAAGTGTTTTGTGAGCTTAAGATTGGTGAATCTTGTTCAGTTCAGTTCTTACAACAATTAAAATTTTTATCTGAATATGTTTAAAAGTCGTAAAAATTATTGTATAACCTAAAACTATGTTATCGCGCTTTCTTGCTCGAGGCCACGCTAATCATTAGTCTATATGTTTCTCTGTCTACGGTTGTAGACGTTTTTTTAGCTTTATATACCATAGACAATTCTAGTGACGGTAATTATAGAAAGGAACAGCCTTATCGATTTACTCGTTTTACCTATGGTTCAATAAAATTCAGCATTTTAATAATATTGCTTAACGTTTTCAATAAATATTAATTTCGGGAAGACCTGCTACGGACGAATTGTTCAGCTATGGAACTTAAAAACTTTCGATTTAGAATCAATTTTGCTAAATTTTGTTTCAATTTGGGTGAATTTTGTAATTCAGATCGATCGTGCTATAAAGTTAAGAAAAATTCTGTTTGCCAAATTAGGCAACGCTTTTTCATCAGCTTTACATCAGTTAGGTGTGAATAAAATAACACAAAGTAAAAATTCAAACAAAATATTTATTTTCCCTTTACAAAGAAAATAATACCAATTTAACTGTATTGAAATAACTTTCAAATTGTTTATTGTATCTTATACCTATATTACTCACTTTATTTGGTAAACTGCCACTGTTTCTCAAATAGTCCGGGGTTAACTGGTAGAGAATGCTATAAAACAATAAGTCGGCATTTTATATCCCTATTATAAGGTGTGTAAAAAAAATAAAATAAATAAATAAAATAATGATACCAATCCTTGACAAGAAGCTGACTGTGACAAAACATGTTTTTTTTTATATAGGATAGGGTGACAAACGAGCACACAGTCCACCCGATGATAAGTGGTTGCTGTGACCCATAGACATCTACGTCTATCCTCGATTACGAATCAAAATGCAGATGCTTTGTCACCCGTGAGGACTAAGATGGAATGCCTCGTTTCCAGTAAATGGGTCTCCGGTTCTCTACACTCACCATACGAAATACAGCAGCATTAAGCTACTATTTCACGCTGGTATTCTGTGAGAGCGTGGTCCTTCCCCGGTCGAGCCGACCCATTCGTGCTACAACTGTACATCTAATATAACTGCAGCATGGCTCTACCACGTAAAATGTAAATGGTTGGCTAAGTCATTTAAGTAATAGCCTTAATTGGGTACGCAGTCTTACACATCTTTTCCGTAATTTTTTTTACTAAATTAAACCCAAGATACAAATCATGGAGCTGAAAAGACACATCTTTAAGGCATAATTACACTACAATAATATTAACGTGCAAAAAAAAACAGTTTTTTTTTTTATTTCTTTCTGATTGTACTATTGTGCTCATTTTTTTCTCGCCACCTCTAGGGTAATAGCTGAAAATCAATGTTTGCTCTCTGAGCAATATTAATCGCTGAGCTATTATTTACCATTTGTTTAACTGCAACACACATGTACATTTAGATCATAAGTTTATGTTTTTTTTTTCATAATACTTTGATTGTATATCTAGTTTATTCACTGAATTTACGTGTGTGATTGGAGATACAAACAAACATTTCTATCTATCTATCTATCTAAATAAATAGTACAAAAAGCCTAAAAATTCAAAGGTTTGTTTTACGGACATAAACTGCATCAAAAGTGTTTATGACGCTAGTAGTATTTGTTGTCTCTATTTTATTACGCACAAATTAAAAGAATTCAGACAAAGTTTATAAGGCATTTGAATCATAGCATTAACGCGTATATACTATAATATACTTACTACATTATACGTTCTTAGAAAATAGACGTAAGATATGATGTTGGTGTTTAATACAGACAATGGCTACCTAGATTCTCCTGTTTTACTACCTGCAGTAAACATTTTTTGCCCCCAAGTCCAGAAATAACAATTATGTAGTAAACTCACTTATGACTCATATTTGTTGAAAATATAGTAATAAACTTTCTTCCAACCTTTAGCTCTCATAGATCTACTGTTAAAGACATCAAATAAATTATTAAAAATACGAACGAATTCAATGGTGCCGTCACAATTTAAAAATTTAGAAATACCAGATTGTTTACAACATTCAAGAACATCTGCTACTGAGTTACTCATTAATTGCGTAGCTAGTCGGACTTTCAGTTTTTGTTTTACAAAATTCATGTGTAATTTTTTTATTTATTAGCTAAATGAAGACCTTCTTTATACTGAATTTGGTTAAGTAATTCTATATAATGCCAATCAATATTTCTACCATTAATGTCAATCATCCTTTTTTATCCCCAAATGTATTTCTAACTATAGTTCAGCCGTTCAGAGAATGCGTTCCTGACACCTATCAGTTAGTCACGACTAGTAATGGGCACAACATAACACTGAGTTCGTTACCGTTCCTCCAAAATGAACCGCCGCGTTATTTTTAACATTATTTTCGTTTTAAATTGGCGGAATCATTTAAAATTTATATTTTAGTAATTTATGTATAGTGTTATGGCACGGGTCCGGCCAAATACAAATATCACACACATCATAGTTAAAACCGTAGGACGTAGAAGAAATGTCACAGCCAAGGTAATTACATATTGCTTTGTTTGTTGTTGCTCCGTCAAAGGTCGCTGACACAACCTGAACTCCACATTATTTTAATAATGCTAAGCATTGCAGCAATAAATTGACTTTTTCCTTAGCGGTAATAGATTTAATTAAAAAGTAACCTACTGGAATTTTCCACGTATCATTAACAGCGATACGCATGAAAGTTAAGAAATAAAAAAAGTACAATTATTCAAAAGGCCATCTCGCCCATGCTTAAAGCACAAGAGCTTGTCATTGTCAGTACTTACACGTAATTTTATTGCATTTTACGCCTCAGTTGTAAATCCCAGTTGGCAGTCGATTTCTTGGTACCATTTGCTTACAGTTTTAGGATGAGGGATAATCTTTCATAATTCCTCTCGTGTAAAATTATACGCGCGTGGAGATATCAAATGTAATGTAACTTCAAATTTCTTAATTTCAAATTATAGGACCGCACCGAGTTTCCCTGCTGTTTAAATAAATTACTTTGTATATTTTTTTATTTTTTACTGTCCAAAATAAGTATTTTACGTTTCCTAAATTTTAGTTGTTTAGGATCTCTTGAAATCTATCATTTAAGTTTATGTTTTTCTTTTTAAGCCTCCATGATCTTTGTTAGAGAGACTTGGTTTTCAGTAGAAGTTGTCTAGAAAGCGTCTCAGCTTTAGCAATTTTTTTTCCAACTTATGTATACGTAAATTATCTAAAGCGCAATTTGAACTTGTGGATGGAGCTAAATTTTCACGAATGTTCATTGGTTCTGGTTCAAGGTTATTAATCGTTTTATATAAAATATTATTATTTAATAGTTCTCAGCCTGTCATTTTTAAAAGTGCTTACACTATTCTCACATTCAATGAATTTTTCACTTCCTGTGGGGACGAAGTATCCATAATCTCCTCCGGTTCCTAAAGCATCAAAACATGTTTGGAGTTTCAAATCGAATGGTTGCGTAGAAAAACGGATACTCTCGCATTTTGTTTATTTGATTGGTATCTAGCCAGTGCCTCTCTCCATTAATATGAATGAATACTAATATGAATAATTTAATCGGAAGTAACTAGTGTTATTTAAGATGAACAATTTAATCTATTATTATGAATAATGTAATCAATGAACTACTAATGATATTTGACATTTGTATATCCATGAGGCAGATCACAGACTAAACTTTATTTGTATTTAATTAAGACTTTTTGTAACCTGTCAATCACAAATAAACTATTTAAATTTATTTTTTTATTTATTTAATTATTAATAAGATATTGAAATGCTACTAATAAAGATTCCGAATATAAAAAATAAGATACCGAGAAACTTTGTTGTTGAAGGAGATTTTCTTAGAATAGTGCAAAAATATATGAATCAGCGGTCCTAAAAAGCAAAAACCGACCGTTTCTTCCAAAATTATTAAAAAGGGAAGTGTACAGCTCAAGCAATCGGGATAAACAAATTTGGTAATATGTATATAAAAAGAAATAGCTACGTTTCTTGGTCTGCCGGATGCTGAGTATTATACTAGGCACAGCTTAAGGTGGACCTCT